CAACAATTGAGAACAGTATAACCAACAACTGGGAATCATGAAATATATTCACCAACAACTGAAACAACAGTAAGGGAATGCATGCAATATACTCACCAACAATTGAATCATGAAACATATAAAGGAATCATGAATCATATATATCACCAACAATGGAACAACAGTAAGGGAATCATGAAATATATTCACCAACAACTGAACAACAGTAAAGGGAATCATGCAATATACTCACCAACAACTGAACAACAGTAAGGGAATCATGCAATATACTCACCAACAACTGAACAACAGTAAGGGAATCATGAAATATATTCACCAACAACTGAACAACAGTAAGGGAATCATGAAATATACTCACCAACAATGGAACAACAGTAAGGGAATCATGCAATATACTCACCAACAATTGAACAACAGTAAGGGAATCATGAAATATATTCACCAACAACTGAACAACAACAGTAAGGGAATCATGAAATATATTCACCAACAACTGAACAACAGTAAGGGAATCATGCAAATATACTCACCAACAACTGAACAACAGTAAGGGAATCATGCAATATATTCACCAACAACAATGGAACAACAGTAAAGGGAATCATGAAATATATTCACCAACAACTGGAACAACAGTAAGGGAATCATGAAATATATTCACCAACAATGGAACAACAGTAAGGGAATCATGAAATATATTCACCAACAACTGAACAACAGTAAGGGAATCATGCAATATACTCACCAACAACTGAACAACAGTAAGGGGAATCATGAAATATACTCACCAACAACTGAACAACAGTAAGGGAATCATGCAATATATTCACCAACAACTGGAACAACAGTAAAGGGAATCATGAAATATATTCACCAACAACTGAACAACAGTAAGGGAATCATGAAAATATACTCACCAACAACTGAAACAACAACAGTAAAGGAATCATGCAATATACTCACCAACAACTGAACAACAGTAAGGGAATCATGAAATATATTCACCAACAATGGAACAACAGTAAAGGGAATCATGCAATATATTCACCAACAACTGAACAACAGTAAGGGAATCATGCAATATACTCACCAACAACTGAACAACAGTAAGGGAATCATGAAATATATTCACCAACAACTGAACAACAGTAAGGGAATCATGCAATATACTCACCAACAACTGAACAACAGTAAATAGGGAATCATGAAATATACTCACCAACAATGGAACAACAGTAAGGGAATCATGAAATATATTCACCAACAACTGAACAACAGTAAGGGAATCATGCAATATACTCACCAACAACTAAACAACAGTAAGAGAATCATGCAATATACTCACCAACAATTGAGCAACAGTAAGGGAATCATGAAATATATTCACCAACAATGAAACAACAGTAGGGAATTATGCAATATACTCACCAACAATTGAAAAACAATAAGGGAATCATGAAATATATTCACCAACAATGGAACAGTAAGGGAATCATGAAATATATTCACCAACAACTGAACAACAGTAAAGGGAATCATGAAATATATTCACCAACAATGGAACAACAGTAAGGGAATCATGAAATATATTCACCAACAACTGAACAACAGTAAGGGAATCATGCAATATACTCACCAACAACTGAACAACAGTAAGGGAATCATGAAATATATTCACCAACAACTGAACAACAGTAAGGGAATCATGCAATATACTCACCAACAACTGAACAACAATAAGGGAATCATGGAAATGAAATATACTCACCAACAATAAGAAAACAGTAAGGGAATCATGAAATATATTCACCAACAACTGAACAACAGTAAGGGAATCATGAAATATACTCACCAACAACTGAACAACAGTAAGGGAATCATGAAATATATTCACCAACAATGAACAACAGTAAGGGAATCATGAAATATACTCACCAACAACTGAACAACAGTAAGGGAATCATGCAATATACTCACCAACAACTGAACAACAGTGAGGGAATCATGCAATATATTCACCAACAACAAGAACAACAGTAAGGGAATCATGAAATATATTCACCAACAACTGAACAACAGTAAAGGGAATATATGAAATATGCTCACCAACAATGGAACAACAGTAAGGGAATCATGAAATATATTCACCAACAACTGAACAACAGTAAGGGAATCATGCAATATACTCACCAACAACTGAAAACAACAATAAGGGAATCATGAAATATATTCACCAACAATGGAACAACAGTAAGGGAATTATGCAATATACTCACCAACAACTGAACAACAGTAAGGGAATCATGAAATATACTCACCAACAACAGAACAACAGTAAGGGAATCATGAAATATATTCACCAACAACTGAACAACAGTAAGGGAATCATGCAATATACTCACCAACAACTTGAACAACAGTAAGGGAATCATGCAACATACTCACCAAAAACTGAGCAACAGTAAGGGAATCATGAAATATATTCACCAACAATGGAACAAAAGTAAGGGAATCATGAAATATATTCACCAACAATGGAACAACAGTAAGGGAATTATGCAATATACTCACCAACAACTGAAAAACAGTAAGGGAATTATGCAATATACTCACCAACAACAGAACAACAATAAGGAAATAATGAAATATATTCACCAACAACTGAACAACAGTAAGGGAATCATGCAATATACTCACCAACAACTAAACAACAGTAAGAGAATCATGCAATATACTCACCAACAATTGTACAACAATAAGGGAATCATGAAATATATTCACCAACAACTGAACAACAGTAAGGGAATTATGCAATATACTCACCAACAACTAAACAACAGTAAGAGAATCATGCAATATACTCAGCAACAATGGAACAACAGTAAGGGAATCATGAAATATATTCACCAACAATGAAACAACAGTAGGGAATTATGCAATATACTCACCAACAATTGAACAACAGTAAGAGAATCATGCAATATACTCACCAACAACTGAACAACAATAAGGGAATCATGAGCAATATACTCACCAACAAACAGAACAATATAGTAGAATCATGAAATATATTCACCAACAACTGAACAACAGTAAGGGAATTATGCAATATACTCACCAACAACTGAACAACAGTAAGGGAATCATGCAATATACTCACCAACAACTGAAAAACAGTAAGGGAATCATGCAATATACTCACCAAAAACTGAGCAACAATAAGGGAATCATGAAATATATTCACAAACAACTGAACAACAGTCAGGGAATCATGCAATATACTCACCAACAACTAAACAACAGTAAGGGAATCATTAAATATATTCACCAACAATAGAACAACAGTAAGGGAATTATGCAATATGCTCACCAACAATTGAACAACAATAAGGGAATAATGAAATATACTCACCAACAACAGAACAACAGTAAGGGAATAATGAAATATATTCACCAACAATGGAACAAAAGTAAGGGAATCATGAAATATATTCACCAACAATGGAACAACAGTAAGGGAATTATGCAATATACTCACCAACAACTGAAAAACAGTAAGGGAATTATGCAATATACTCACCAACAACAGAACAACAATAAGGAATCATGAAATATATTCACAAACAACTGAACAACAGTAAGGGAATCATGCAATATACTCACCAACAACTAAACAACAGTAAGGGAATCATTAAATATATTCACCAACAATAGAACAACAGTAGGGGAATTATGCAATATGCTCGCCAACAACTGAACAACAATAAGGGAATAATGAAATATACTCACCAACAACAGAACAACAGTAAGGGAATAATGAAATATATTCACCAACAATGGAACAAAAGTAAGGGAATCATGAAATATATTCACCAACAATGGAACAACAGTAAGGGAATTATGCAATATACTCACCAACAACTGAAAAACAGTAAGGGAATTATGCAATATACTCACCAACAACAGAACAACAATAAGGGAATCATGAAATATATTCACAAACAACTGAACAACAGTAAGGGAATCATGCAATATACTCACCAACAACTAAACAACAGTAAGGGAATCATTAAATATATTCACCAACAATAGAACAACAGTAGGGGAATTATGCAATATGCTCGCCAACAACTGAACAACAATAAGGGAATAATGAAATATACTCACCAACAACAGAACAACAGTAAGGGAATAATGAAATATACTCACCAACAACTGAACAACAGTAAGGGAATTATGCAATATACTCTCCAATAACAGAACAACAGTAGGGGAATCATGCAATATACTCACCAACAACTAAACAACAGTAAGGGAATTATGCAATATACTCACAAACAACTGAACAACAGTAAGGGAATTATGCAATATACTCTCCAATAACAGAACAACAGTAGGGGAATCATGCAATATACTCACCAACAACGGAACAACAGTAAGGGAATTATGCAATATACTCACAAACAACTGAACAACAGTAAGGGAATTATGTAATATACTCACCAACAACAACGATGACCTTTGACATCTCCACTTCTGGGCACGTCTTGGACATGAGTCGTGGGCGTGAACGTGCCAGCTGCACGAGAACACTCACATCTGCATTTTGTCTCGTCGAATGAGTGAGGTTGTCAAATCGTGCCAATAATACAAACTAGAGAGTAAAACCTTTTTGCAGTTTTTTTTAAAATTTGGGTTATTTCTGAGCATTCCCTTTAAAGAGTACATTTACTAATGTTAGACACAATGTTGACTCGATAACGTCAAACACATATGGCATACTTCAAGTCGCAGCGGCTCGGTCTGTATATCACAGCCTTGGAGTAGGGTATTGTAGAATTCCAGTCGGTCTGTATATCATAGTTTTTGAGTAGTTTATAGTAGAATTCCAGTCAGTCTGTATATCACAACTGTAAGCCGTAACACTGTAAGCCGTAACACTGTAAGCCGTAACACGGGCAGATGGAACTGTCTTTGACATGCCTTCTGTCTTTTTCCAGTAAGAAATTTCCTCCGGGTGATTGTGGACCTATTCATGGCCGGCACGGAGACGTCCTCTACGACGTTGAACTGGGCCATCCTATACATGGTGGCCTACCCTGACATCCAGGACCGTTGTCAACGCGAACTTGAGGAGGTGAGCACAAACAGCACACATCCCACCCAACCATGCCAACGCTTTCCCTCCAACCAATGACGACCCTCTCTCTCCCAACCATGTCAACGCTTTCCCTCCAACCAATGACGACCCTCTCTCAACCAACCATGTCAACGCTTTCTCTCCAACCAATGACGACCCTCTCCCACCCAACCATGTCAACGCTTTCCCTCCAACCAATGACGACCCTCTCTCAACCAACCATGTCAACGCTTTCCCTCCAACCAATGACGACCCTCTCTCACCCAACCATGTCAACGCTTTCCCTCCAACCAATGACGACCCTCTCTCACCCAACCATGTCAACGCTTTCTCTCCAACCAATGACAACTCTCTTTCCCATCAATGTCGTCACTCTCTCCCACCAATGTCGACTCTCTCTCTCGCCCACCAATGTCGGCTCTCTCAACCACCCACCAATGTTGAATCTCTCTCCCACCAATCTACACTGTCCCACCCACCAATGTCGACAATCTCTACCAACAATATCGTCACTCTTTCCACCAATGTCGACTCTCCACCCATCAATGCCGTCACTCTCACCAACCAATGTCGACTCTCCCACCAATGTCGACTCTCCCACCAATGTTGACTCTAACACCCACCAATGTCGACTCTCTAACACCCACCAATGTCGACTCTCCCACCAATGTCGACTCTCCCACCAATGTCGACTCTCTCACACCCACCAATGTCGATTCTAACACCCACCAATGTCGACTCTCCCACCAATGTCGACTCTCTCACACCCACCAATGTCGATTCTCACACCCACCAATGTCGACTCTAACACCCACCAATGTCGACTCTCTCACACCCACCAATGTCGACTCTCCCACCAATGTCGACTCTCTCACACCCACCAATGTCGATTCTCACACCCACCAATGTCGACTCTAACACCCACCAATGTCGACTCTCCCACCAATGTCGACTCTAACACCCACCAATGTCGACTCTCTCACACCCACCAATGTCGATTCTAACAGCCACCAATGTCGACTCTTCCATACCCATCAATGTCGACTCTTTCTCACCCTCCAATGTCGACTCTCTCAACAATGTCGACTCTAACACCAACCAATGTCGATTCTGTAGACACTCTTTTCCCACCACCCACTACCAACGTCGATCCTAACACCAACCAATGTCGACTCTCCCACACCCACCAATGTCGACTCTCTCACACCCACCAATGTCGATTCTCTTTCCCACCAACGTCCATTCTAACACCCACCAATGTCGACTCTCCCATACCCACCAATGTCGACTCTTTCTCACCCACCAATGTCGACTCACCCACCAATGTCGACTCACCCACCATTGTCGACTCTAACACCCACCAATGTCGACTCTTCCACCAATGTCGACTCTTAACACCCACCAATGTCGACTCTCCCACCAATGTCGACTCTAACACCCACCAATGTCGACTCTCACACCCACCACTGTAGACTCTCGTTCCCACCAACGTCGATTCTAACAGCCACCAATGTCGAATCTCTCCCATACCAACCAATGTAGACTCTCTTTCCAACCAACATCGATTCCAACACCCACCATTGTCGACTCTCTCACACCCACCAATGTCGCCTCTCTCACACCCATCCAATGTCGACTCTCCCACACCAACCAATGTCGACTCTCTCACACATACGAATGTCGACTCTCTGCCACCCATCAATGACGACTCTCTCCCACCCACCAATGTCGACTCTCTCACACCCATCTAATGTCGACTCTCTCTCCCACCAATGTCGACGCTCTCTCCCACCAATGTCGACGCTCTCTCCCACCAATGCCGACTCTCTCACACCCACCAATGTCGACTCTCTCACACCCACCAATGTCGACTCTCTCACACCCACCAATGTCGACTCTCTCACACCCACCAATATCGACTCCCACCCACCAATGTCGACTCTCCCACCCACCAATGTCTATTCTCTCTCGCCCACTAATGTACACTATCTCTCACCTAGCAATGTCGACTTTCTTTTAGACAGCGTTGTCGACACTCACACACACCGTTGTCACACATACACCATTGCAACACACTTAGCATTGTCAAACATTCGCCATTGTCACATATCCATCACTGTCACACATAAACCACAGTGTTATCCACTCTTTAATAAAATAAACTTCATTTCGATATAGTTTGACAGCAATCGTCATTAAGACAAGTCCTATGTTTGAATCCCGTTAATCGTGTCTTGGGTGTTGTGTACTGCACGCAAACGCATCTCAAAATGTGTTTGTAAATGTTTGTCATAAAAAATGACAACGATACATGAAAAGAGAATGCAGAAAACGTTGTTCACGTGCAATGTTTCGGAAACATGAGTAGAGATATCGACTATAAAAGGCCAAACCATATTCATCATTTCATTACAAAATTTACGACGTAAACGAAGGTAAAAAAAGGCCAAGATTGAATGCTACTGACCGAAATAAGCCATTGGACGATTGGGAGCAAGGGCGTCCCAGTCTGTTGTTGCAAGACATATCAACGTCCCCCCCAGCACCCCACTCGATTATGACATTGATATACCCGTTTCAATTCGACCCAAAATCGTCCCAGAAGTGGAAAACCAAGAGTGACCACTCCTGCTCAGGACCGATTCATCCGGGTGTTTAACCTACGTCACCGATTTGCTACAGCAACGGTCTTCGAAGAATTTCCGACCAAATCATCAGAAAAGTTGGACCTGTCCTGACACGACTACACCGACAACGAAGTATCCAGTTGTGCAACAGGGTACAGGCACTAACCCTGGGCAATTTGCAATGCGTTTGTTTCAGCAATGAATCGCGTTTCCTCCTGCAACGACGGTGATGGGAGACATCGTGTCTACCGACGTCGATACGAACATCTTGCGTCGAACAGGTGGACAGATTTTTACGGAGATAGCGTTATGGTGTGTGGAGCCATGTCCTACAGGGATAGATCAGAGCTAGTGGTGGTTCAAGGCAATCTTACAGCAAATCGCTACATCGACCAAATCCTGCCACCTCACCTCCTCCCACTGTTTAACCACCAGAGGGAGCTGTTCCAACACGATGCGGCTCTACCCCACACAGCTAGTGTAACAGGTGCCTATCTCGCCAAAGCAAACGTCAGTGTCCTTCCCTGGCCTTCAAAAGCGCCTAGTCTGAACCCGATCGAGCATCTCTGGGATGAACTTGATCGACGCGTTCGTAGACGTCACTATCGTCCTCAGACACTCTCAGACACTCTCAGACACTTACAGAACTTGCCAACGCCTTGCATTAGGAATGGCGAAGAATTCCCCAAGCAAACATCCGACGACTTGTGCAGTCCCTTCAAAGGCGGTGGTGATACGAGGTACCGACCTGAGCGCCCCCCCTTGTGTCCACACATGTGCAGTGAGTGAACTCAATGAATGCTGACAATGACAACAATGCATATGTTCATCCGTGTGTCGAATTTCCTTCACTAATGTTCAAGGTTAATACATTTCCGTATATTTGGCCGCCGTGATGTTGCTGGAATATTCCTAAAAGCGGCGGAAAACCAAACTCAGTCGGTCCGTATTTTTGGCCTGTGCATTTCTTTGTCTTGAATAGTTAATTATCTGTTTACTCATATCCCTTTTTGTACCACCGAAAACTGAAATATTTGTTTGGTAAGAGTTTATCTTAGGTAATATGGGGTGTCGGTACATGTGTTCCATGTGCAAAGTTTATCTTAAAATGTTATACTTGTGTACTAATATATATGTATTTTAAACCTTGCTTTGAGCAATAGTTTAAAACATTTTTTTCAACTGTCTGTCATCTCAGACATCGTAATGTAATAATTTCCTGAGAACCTGATTGTTCCAGCTGAGGTAAATGAATGTACGTGAGTGTCGACTGATAGTTACACTCACACTGGCTGTACTTATAGCACAGGATTAGCATTGTTTGTATATTCTAACAATTATGGTGACTCTATACAGTCCTATTGTCATAGCAATATACAACCTAGAATCGGTTTCAATTACCTGATGGATTAAAGTGTTGCTTTTATACATTATAAGATGCCGGATACAGCAACTGTATACCAAGTGAAGGCATAGTGCATTAATTGTTGTTTACATGTCCGGGTAAATGACATGTGGCCGTGGCAATCATGTGATACACAGATATGTGCTCATGTCACACTCTTTGGTTGCAGGTCATTGGTCCTGGCAGAACGGTGCAGTTCCAAGACAGATTCAAGTTGCCATATGTTGAGGCTACACTGTGAGATACAGAGAATATCCACCATAGGTAAGAGAGACCTTTGTTAAGGCTACACTGTGAGATACAGAGAATATCCACCATAGGTAAGAGAGACCTTTGTTAAAGCTACACTGTGAGATACTGAGAATATCCACCATAGGTAAGAGAGACCTTTGTTAAGGCTACACTGTGAGATACAGAGAATATCCACCATAGGTAAGAGAGACCTTTGTTAAAGCTACACTGTGAGATACTGAGAATATCCACCTTAGGTAAGAGCGACCTTTTTTGAAGCTACACTGTGTGAGATACAGAGAATATCCACCATAGGTAAGAGAGACCTTTGTTAAAGCTACACTGTGTGAGATACAGAGAATATCCACCATAGGTAAGAGAGACCTTTGTTAAAGCTACACTGTGTGAGATACAGAGAATATCCACCATAGGTAAGAGAGACCTTTGTTAAGGCTACACTGAGTGAGATACAGAGAATATCCACCATAGGTAAGAGCGACCTTTGCTAAAGCTACACTGTGAGATACTGAGAATATCCACCATAGGTAAGAGCGACCTTGTTTGAAGCTACACTGTGTGAGATACAGAGAATATCCACCATAGGTAAGAGCGACCTTTGATAAAGCTACACTGTGTGAGATACAGAGAATATCCACCATAGATAAGAGAGACCTTTGATAAAGCTACACTGTGTGAGATACAGAGAATATCCACCATAGGTAAGAAAGACCTTTGATAAAGCTACACTGTGAGATACAGAGAATATCCACCATAGGTAAGAGCGACCTTTTTTGAAGCTACACTGTGAGATACAGAGAATATCCACCATAGGTAAGAGAGACCTTTGTTAAAGCTACACTGTGTGAGATACAGAGAATATCCACCATAGGTAAGAGAGACCTTTGATAAAGCTACACTGTGAGATACTGGGAATATCCACCATAGGTAAGAGAGACCTTTGTTAAAGCTACACTGTGTGAGATACAGAGCATATCCACCATAGGTAAGAGAGACCTTTGTTGAAGCTACACTGTGAGATACAGAGAATATCTAAGAGAGGTAAGAGAGACCTTTGTTAAAGCTACACTGTGTGAGATACAGAGAATATCCACCATAGGTAAGAGAGACCTTTGTTGCAACTACACTGTGTGAGATACAGAGAATATCCACCATAGGTAAGAGAGGCCTTTGTTAAAGCTACACTGTGAGATACAAAGAATATCTAAGAAAGGTAAGAGGGACATTTGTTTTAGCTACACTGTGTGAGATACAGAGAATATCCACCATAGGTAAGAGAGACCTTTGTTAAAGCTACACTGTGTGAGATACAGAGAATATCCACCATAGGTAAGAGAGACCTTTGATAAAGCTACACTATGTGAGATACAGAGAATATCCACCATAGGTAAGAGAGACTTTGATAAAGCTACACTGTGTGAGATACAGAGAATATCCACCATAGGTAAGAGAGACCTTTGATAAAGCTACACTGTTTGAGATACAGAGAATATCCACCATAGGTAAGAGAGGCCTTTGATATGGCTAAACTGTGTGAGATACAGAGAATATCCACAATAGGTAAGAGCGACCTTTTTTGAAGCAACACTGTGTGAGATACAGAGAATATCCACCATAGGTAAGAGAGACCTTTGTTAAAGCTACACTGTGTGAGATACAGAGAATATCCACCATAGGTAAGAGCGACCTTTGATAAAGCTACACTGTGAGATACTGAGAATATCTAAGAGAGGTAAGAGAGACCTTTGATAAAGCTACACTGTGAGATACTGAGAATATCTAAGAGAGGTAAGAGAGACCTTTGATAAAGCTACCCTGTGTGAGATACAGAGAATATCCACAATAGGTAAGAGAGACTTTTGATAAAGCTACACTGTGTGAGATACAGAGAATATCCACAATAGGTAAGAGAGACCTTTGATAAAGCTACACTGTGTGAGATACAGAGAATATCTAAGAGAGGTAAGGGTGACCGCGAACACTCAGGGCCTTGAGATGTTAGTTAAATGTAACATGTTATGTTGTAAATCACATATTTTAGTACTTCAAACTTGTCAGTTACACCAGGGACGTGGTCTAGACTACAATTATTCGAGTAGATGTATGTACGTTGGAGCCATGAGAAGTACAGTGTAGGCTGCTATATGTATGTACGTTGGAGCCATGAGAAGTACAGTGTAGGCTGCTATATGTATGTACGTTGGAGCCAGGAGAAGTACAGTGTACGCTGCTAGATGTATGTAGGTTGGAGCCATGAGAAGTACAGTGTAGGCTGCTAGATGTATGTACGTTGGAGCCATGAGAAGTACAGTGTAGGCTGCTATATGTATGTACGTTGGAGACATGAGAAGTACAGTGTAGGATGCTAGATGTATGTACGTTGGAGCCATGAGAAGTACAGTGTAGGATGCTAGATGTATGTACGTTGGAGCCAGGAGAAGTGCTACGTTGGGGCAGTACAGTGTAGGCTGCTAGATGTATGTACGTTGGAGCCAGGAGAAGTACAGTGTAGGCTGCTAGATGTATGTACGTTGGAGCCATGAGAAGTACAGTGTAGGCTGCTAGATGTATGTACGTTGGGGCAAGGAGAAGTACAGTGTAGGCTGCTAGATGTATGTACGTTGGAGCCATGAGAAGTACAGTGTAGGCTGCTAGATGTATATACGTTGGGGCAAGGAGAAGTACAGTGTAGGCTGCTAGATGTATGTACGTTGGAGCCATGAGAAGTACAGTGTAGGCTGCTAGATGTATGTACGTTGGAGCCATGAGAAGTACAGTGTAGGCTGCTAGATGTATGTACGTTGGAGCCAGGAGAAGTACAGTGTACACAGGTTCGACAATTCCTCTCAGACGTTTTCCGTCGTGTGTATCGTCTAGGTTTCTGAATGGGTCATCTTAGAGACTCCAGTTATGTAACTGTCTAAGACATACAGCTGATCTAGCCGCCTGGGCGCCGCCATGTTGTGGCCGATATGTTGTTCCCAGCTGTGACCCCTGCCATCACGTAGCTGTATTTGTCTCCACCCACAGCTCCCCTGTCCGTTCCTCACGCCACACTACAAGACACCACCCTCGGGGGATTCAACATCCCCCGGGAATCCATCGTCCTCGTCAACCTGCTGTCTGTTCACCAAGACCCCACTCTCTGGCCGGACCCCGGGACGTTCAACCCATGTCGATTCCTGGAAGACGGGAAGGTCCGCAGAGGAGAATATTTCATGCCCTTTTCTGCAGGTAAACGTGTAACATTGCGTGTGGTACATTTACCTGTTTTTCCGAGAGTTTATGTGCATGTATACTTGCTTTTCATACAACTACCCCTTTTCTAGAGGCAAATATTCAAAATATTTAACACTGCATATCATACAATCTCTTCTTTTCAACAGGTAAACATACTAAATTCCTTAATTGTCTATCGTACAGTTACGCGCTTTTCCTCTGGTGAACATGTAACATGGCTTATCATGCAATCACGCCCTTCTGTGTTGGTGAACATGTGACATGGCTTATCATCCAATCACGCCCTTCTGTGTTGGTGAACATGTGACATTGCTTATCATACAATAACGCCTTTATGTGTTGGTGAACATGTAACATGGCTTATCATCCAATCACGCCCTTCTGTGTTGGTGAACATGTAACACTGCTTATCATCCAATCACGCCCTTCTGTGTTGGTGAACATGTAACATGGCTTATCATCCAATCACGCCCTTCTGTGTTGGTGAACATGTAACATGGCTTATCATACAATAACGCCCTTCTGTGTTGTCGAACATGTGACATTGCTTATCATACAATAACGCCTTTATGTGATGGTGAACATGTGACATGGCTTATCATCCAATCACGCCCTTCTGTGTTGGTGAACATGTAACATGGCTTATCATCCAATCACGCCCTTCTGTGTTGGTGAACATGTGACATTGCTTATCATACAATAACGCCTTTATGTGTTGGTGAACATGTGACATGGCTTATACATGGTGAACATGTGACATGGCTTATCATTCATTATTGCTAAAATTCATGGAATTATCATGAAACGGCCCTCCTATTATCAGAAATTTGCGGGCCGCTGCAAATGATATTGGACCGCTCAACCTTAACGATAGGCCACTATCAGTTCTGTTGTCAAGTGACGTCATATTGGGTGCGTCGGTTCATTCGACATTAACTGGCTTTCGACTGGCAAGTATTATGGGTCAAACAAGTCAAAGCAACCCGAATTCCCGCTTTAAATAGCGGTAATATTGGCTTTCTTGTTGGTGCTAACCTTAACAATTGCACTATTAAGGCTGTTGATGGACCAAAACCGAACACTGACATGGTTTGACATGTTGCAGGCTATGGTCTTGTCAAAGGCCAAGGTCGAATATCGTCACTTTCTGTCGTGACGTCACCTGAATTGTTCGATGACGTAACTGCATTCGGGCAGTCAACCCCGTCAGAAGTTGATTTGGGTAAACTTACAGTCAAATTCCTTCATTGTTTCCTTTTTCTTTTCAACACAAATTCCATGTATTTTAGCAATAATAACGGTAATGCTATTTTTTTCGGTCTTTCGAAATAATGGAAGACCTCGGCCTTCTGCAAATGATAATGCCCTCAAAAATAGCATTACCCTTATAATAACGCCCTTCTGTGATGGTGAACATGTGACATGGCTTATCATACAATAACGCCCTTTTGTGATGGTGAACATGTAACATGGCTTATCATACAATCACTCCTTTCTGTGTTGGTGAACATGTAACACCATGTCTGTGTTTTTGTGAATTGATCGTCGTGTGATGTATTGTAATGACATGGCATATGGTCTTCTTGTGGCTGGTTATTCAATACGTGGTACATTCTGTTCTGCACAGGGCCGCGTGTGTGTGCCGGTGAGACTCTCGCCAAGATGGAACTGTTTCTCTACTTTGCAAATCTTCTACAATGGTTCACATTTAGGAAAGTAGAAGGGGCCACGTTGAACCTGGAAGGGGTGACTGGATTAACGCGATCTCCGAGGCCTTTCGAAGTAGTGGTTACCAAACGCTAGTTCAGAGAATGTCAGAAACTTACCGTTACTGTTAACATAAATATTCAGTTTGTAATGATGCACGATGTCTGTGAGGTATTGTATAGAGAATATCTAGTGTTGTCAACTTGACTTCATTGTTAACATAATATATTCAGTTTGTAATGATGCACGATCTCTGTGAGGTGTTGTATAGAGAATATCTAGTGTTGTCAACTTGACTTCATTGTTAACATAATATATTCAGTTTGTAATGATGCACGATGTCTGTGAGGTATTGTATAGAGAATATCTAGTGTTGTCAACTTGACTTCATTGTTAACATAATATATTCAGTTTGTAATGATGCACGATGTCTGTGAGGTGTTGTATAGAGAATATCTAGTGTTGTCAACTTGACTTGATTGTTAACATAATATATTCAGTTTGTAATGATGCACGATGTCTGTGAGGTATTGTATAGAGAATATCTAGTGTTGTCAACTTGACTTCATTGTTAACATAATATATTCAGTTTGTAATGATGCATGATGTCTGTGAGGTATTGTATAGAGAATATCTAGTGTTGTCAACTTGACTTGATTGTTAACATAATATATTCAGTTTGTAATGATGCACGATGTCTGTGAGGTGTTGTATAGAGAATATCTAGTGTTGTCAACTTGACTTGATTGTTAACATAATATATTCAGTTTGTAATGATGCACGATCTCTGTGAGGTGTTGTATAGAGAATATCTAGTGTTGTCAACTTGACTTCATTGTTAACATAATATATTCAGTTTGTAATGATGCACGATGTCTGTGAGGTATTGTATAGAGAATATCTAGTGTTGTCAACTTGACTTCATTGTTAACATAATATATTCAGTTTGTAATGATGCACGATGTCTGTGAGGTGTTGTATAGAGAATATCTAGTGTTGTCAACTTGACTTCATTGTTAACATAATATATTCAGTTTGTAATGATGCACGATGTCTGTGAGGTATAGTATAGAGAATATCTAGTGTTGTCAACTTGACTTCATTGTTAACATAATATATTCAGTTTGTAATGATGCATGATGTCTGTGAGGTATTGTATAGAGAATATCTAGTGTTGTCAACTTGACTTGATTGTTAACATAATATATTCAGTTTGTAATGATGCACGATGTCTGTGAGGTGTTGTATAGAGAATATCTAGTGTTGTCAACTTGACTTGATTGTTAACATAATATATTCAGTTTGTAATGATGCACGATGTCTGTGAGGTATTGTATAGAGAATATGTAGTGTTGTCAACTTGACTTCATTGTTAACATAATTTATTCAGTTTGTAATGATGCACGATGTCTGTGAGGTATTGAATAGACAATATATAGTGTTGTCAATTTGACTTGATTGTTAACATAATATATTCAGTTTGTAATGATGCACGATCTCTGTGAGGTATTGTATAGAGAATATCTAGTGTTGTCAACTTGACTTCATTGTTAACATAATATATTCAGTTTGTAATGATGCACGATGTCTGTGAGGTATTGTATAGAGAATGTCTAGTGTTGTCAACTTGACTTCATTGTTAACATAATATATTCAGTTTGTAATGATGCACGATCTCTGTGAGGTATTGTATAGAGAATATCTAGTGTTGTCAACTTGACTTCATTGTTAACATAATATATTCAGTTTGTAATGATGCACGATATCTGTGAGGTATTGTATAGAGAATATCTAGTGTTGTCAACTTGACTTCATTGTTAACATAATATATTCAGTTTGTAATGATGCACGATGTCTGTGAGGTATTGTATAGAGAATATCTAGTGTTGTCAACTTGACTTCATTGTTAACATAATATATTCAGTTTGTAATGATGCACGATGTCTGTGAGGTATTGTATAGAGAATATCTAGTGTTGTCAACTTGACTTCATTGTTAACATAATATATTCAGTTTGTAATGATGCACGATGTCTGTGAGGTATTGTATAGAGAATATCTAGTGTTGTCAACTTGACTTGATTGTTAATATAATATATTCAGTTTGTAATGATGCACGATGTCTGTGAGGTATTGTATAGAGAATATCTAGTGTTGTCAACTTGACTTGATTGTTAACATAATATATTCAGTTTGTAATGATGCACGATCTCTGTGAGGTATTTATAGAGCAGGGCCCACTTGCACAAAACGATTGAATCTCTACAATAGTCGTAACTCTGATTGTAAGGTAATTGTAGGGTCACCCGCCTCTTGCACAAAGCGATCGTAAGCCTACAATAGTCACACATTACACGGTACCATCCATATGACGAGACTAATTCTCCCCTAAAAGAAGCTCGTATAGTTTTGCTCACGTCAAATACCAAATGGCTGATCAAGGGGATGTTTGCAGTTGGCTGAATGAGGTGGACAACTATACAGACAAACAGTTTCAATCAGTGATTACATACAACATAAGACGATGATTAGTTCACCGACCAAAGACCCAAACGGATATGCCGTTACGTGTAAACTTCCACATTCAAACAAGAAGTTGAAAATCTATTCGCAAAAGAATTCAGAGGGAAAGATCTGACAAATGTGACTGTGTCCATCAATAGTACTTAATCACTTTCCCATACAAGAAAATGAGTGAGTGAATGTCTCTTAGGCCACAGTCATTCAAAGGCTAATGTTATCCGGTTTGATGACACAATCTACCAACATGTTTGCCACCCAGCACTCGTGTACTTCCTTCTGTGAATATACAAGTTGATGGAAATACATTCATGAGTGGCGCCACGATCTCCGCTCCATATTGTCAGACGCTTACAGTGGTGTTCAGAATTCTAGAAACCATCGTCCAGCTGACAAATTCCTCCTCATAACAGGTTGAAGACATTCGACGCCAGATCATTCAAACACGCTGTGCTGTGGAACTCCCTTCACCTGGCTGCTGCCTTTGCTGCCGTTAGTCTGGTCTGGAGATCCATCAGTACTGTAGCCACTGACAACTGCTCAACGTTTCAGTTGTATCACCTTAGAGCATGCCACTAACCTTCTTATTATCATTCATCAATACACATGCAAGCACCTACTCCTCTGGTATTAAGGATCCATCAACACCCTTAATCTCAGAATTGGAAACGGCCTGTGTAGCACCAGTGTTTAGACTGCCAGATCTGAGTGAGAGGTTGGCGTTTTATTAAACATATCATCGAATGAGTGGGTGAGTATGGTTTTACACCGCTTTTAGCAATATTCCAGCAATATCACGGAAGGGGACACCAAACAATGGGCTTCACACACTGGACCCATGCAGGATGCCTTTGCTGTACTGCCTAGCGCGCTCAGTTTCAAGTTCAGCTGCTTTCTCTGCTGTGTGTGCTGTGAAGTATGAGTGTGTGTCCAGCCTCTGTGAAGTATGAGTGTGTGTCCAGCCTCTGCGAAGTGTGAGTGTGTGTCCAGCCTCTGCGAAGTATGAGTGTGTGTCCAGCCTCTGTGAAGTGTGAGTGTGTGTCCAGCCTCTGTGAAGTGTGAGTGTGTGTCCAGCCTCTGTGAAGTATGTGTGTGTGTCCAGCCTCTGTGAAGTATGTGTGTGTGTCCAGCCTCTGTGAAGTGTGAGTGTGTCCAGCCTCTGTGAAGTATGAGTGTGTGTCCAGCCTCTGTGAAGTGTGAGTGTGTGTGTGTCCAGCCTCTGTGAAGTATGAGTGTGTGTCCAGCCTCTGTGAAGTGTGAGTGTGTGTCCAGCCTCTGTGAAGTATGAGTGTGTGTCCAGCCTCTGTGAAGTATGAGTGTGTGTCCAGCCTCTGTGAGTAGTGTGTGTGTGTCCAGCCTCTGTGAAGTATGAGTGTGTGTCCAGCCTCTGTGAAGTGTGAGTGTGTGTCCAGCCTCTGTGAAGTGTGAGTGTGTGTCCAGCCTCTGTGAAGTGTGAGTGTGTGTCCAGCCTCTGTGCTAGTACTGTGTTGTGTCCAGCCTCTGTGAAGTATGTGTGTGTGTCCAGCCTCTGTGAAGTATGAGTGTGTGTCCAGCCTCTGTGAAGTGTGAGTGTGTGTCCAGCCTCTGTGCTAGTACTGTGTTGTGTCCAGCCTCTGTGAAGTATGTGTGTGTGTCCAGCCTCTGTGAAGTGTGAGTGTGTGTCCAGCCTCTGTGCTAGTACTGTGTTGTGTCCAGCCTCTGTGAAGTATGTGTGTGTGTCCAGCCTCTGTGAAGTGTGAGTGTGTGTCCAGCCTCTGTGAAGTATGAGTGTGTGTCCAGCCTCTGTGAAGTATGAGTGTGTGTGTGTCCAGCCTCTGTGAAGTGTGAGTGTGTGTCCAGCCTCTGTGAAGTGTGAGTGTGTGTCCAGCCTCTGTGAAGTGTGAGTGTGTGTCCAGCCTCTGTGAAGTATGAGTGTGTGTCCAGCCTCTGTGAAGTGTGAGTGTGTGTCCAGCCTCTGTGAAGTGTGAGTGTGTGTCCAGCCTCTGTGAAGTGTGAGTGTGTGTCCAGCCTCTGTGAAGTATGTGTGTGTGTCCAGCCTCTGTGAAGTATGTGTGTGTGTCCAGCCTCTGTGAAGTGTGTCCAGCCTCTGTGTGTGTGTGTGTCCAGCCTCTGTGAAGTATGAGTGTGTGTCCAGCCTCTGTGAAGTATGTGTGTGTGTCCAGCCTCTGTGAAGTATGTGTGTGTGTCCAGCCTCTGTGAAGTGTGAGTGTGTGTCCAGCCTCTGTGAAGTGTGAGTGTGTGTCCAGCCTCTGTGAAGTGTGAGTGTGTGTCCAGCCTCTGTGAAGTGTGAGTGTGTGTCCAGCCTCTGTGAAGTGTGAGTGTGTCCAGCTCTGTCTGTGTCCAGCCTCTGTGAAGTATGTGTGTGTGTCCAGCCTCTGTGAAGTATGAGTGTGTGTCCAGCCTCTGTGAAGTGTGAGTGTGTGTCCAGCCTCTGTGAAGTACTGTGTGTGTGTCCAGCCTCTGTGAAGTATGTGTGTGTGTCCAGCCTCTGTGAAGTATGTGTGTGTGTCCAGCCTCTGTGAAGTATGTGTGTGTGTCCAGCCTCTGTGAAGTATGTGTGTGTGTGTGTGAGTGTCCAGCCTCTGTGCTAGTACTGTGTGTGTGTCCAGCCTCTGTGAAGTATGTGTGTGTCAGCCTCTGTGAAGTATGTGTGTCCAGCCTCTGTGAAGTATGTGTGTCCAGCCTCTGTGAAGTAGTGTGTGTGTGTGAAGTGTGTCCAGCCTCTGTGAAGTGCTGTGTGTGTCCAGCCTCTGTGAAGTGTGTGTGTGTCCAGCCTCTGTGCTAAGTCTGAGTGTGTGTCCAGCCTCTGTGAAGTATGTGTGTGTGTCCAGCCTCTGTGAAGTATGTGTGTGTGTGTCCAGCCTCTGTGAAGTGTGAGTGTGTGTCCAGCCTCTGTGAAGTGTGAGTGTGTGTCCAGCCTCTGTGAAGTGTGAGTGTGTGTCCAGCCTCTGTGAAGTGTGAGTGTGTGTCCAGCCTCTGTGAAGTGTGTGTGTGTCCAGCCTCTGTGAAGTGTGTGTGTGAGTGTGTGTCCAGTACCTCTCTGTGAAGTATGTGTGTGTGTCCAGCCTCTGTGAAGTATGAGTGTGTGTCCAGCCTCTGTGAAGTGTGAGTGTGTGTCCAGCCTCTGTGAAGTATGTGTGTGTGTCCAGCCTCTGTGAAGTATGTGTGTGTGTCCAGCCTCTGTGAAGTAGTGTGTGTGTGTCCAGCCTCTGTGAAGTATGTGTTGTGTCCAGCCTCTGTGAAGTGTGAGTGTGTGTCCAGCCTCTGTGAAGCATGTGTGTGTGTCCAGCCTCTGTGAAGTATGTGTGTGTGTCCAGCCTCTGTGAAGTATGTGTGTGTATCCAGCCTCTGTGAAGTATGAGTGTGTGTCCAGCCTCTGTGAAGTTCGAGTGTGTGTCCAGCCTCTGTGCTAGTACTGTGTTGTGTCCAGCCTCTGTGAAGTATGTATGTGTATCCAACCTCTGTGAAGTATGTATGTGTATCCAGCCTCTGTGAAGTATGTATGTGTATCCAGCCTCTGTGAAGTATGTGTGTGTATCCAGCCTCTGTGAAGTGTGAGTGAGTATGAGTGTGTGTGTCCAGCCTCTGTGCTAGTACTGTGTGTGTCCAGCCTCTGTGAAGTATGTGTGTGTGTCCAGCCTCTGTGAAGTATGAGTGTGTGTCCAGCCTCTGTGAAGTACGAGTGTGTGTCCAGCCTCTGTGCTAGTAATGTGTTGTGTCCAGCCTCTGTGCTAGTACTGTGTCGTGTATTGGCCCTACTGGAATGTGTTCTACCGTCAAGCCTGCTGTCTGGTTGACCATGTTGACAAGCATGTTCATACACATCAGCTTCACTACTTGCCATCACAACGTTCGCTTGCTGTGTTTTCTTAGTTAGGTCTGACTTGAATGTGCGGGCTGGTTTTGATGGACAAGTAGTTTCTGTCTCATGCTGAAGGTAATTACCTAGCTGCTGTAAACACCTACGAGCAAGTAATTACCTGTCCACATACCAGTTTACTGCAACTGACATATCCTTTAGGAACACTGTCATGAGCAATTTCAAGGGATTCTAAAGCTTGGCCAACATCTTCTTTAGCCTTCACTAACATGGGAGCGCCACACTTACTCTCGATGTACAACTTAGCATGGTTCACTAAACTTGTGAAACGAGCAGCACAACTTTGCCTTGAATGCTTTAATTCTGATTTTATTCCACTATCAGAAACAGTCTTCATCGTCATGTTCATGTTCTCCCATCAATATCCCACTTTCTGGTCGCAAAATGTGAATCACTTTTGTTAACGTCCACTGGAAAAACGCTTTTTCGAGATAGAACAAAACTAAATATGGTTGATAATTGACCAGGGGGTTTACATAGGAAATACAGTATAATATAGAACAAACTTTATGGATAACATCTTCTTTTATTCGTGAGTGCGACGTTTCAATACAGATTCTTGTACCGTTGTCAAGCATTATGGGACTTGAAGAAGGGGGAGTATATATATACTGGATGTAACAATGTAACAAAGAAAACAACATAATTAACATAATTGGCTAGGCAGAAAGCTGATGAAGCCAGAGAGTAGACAAAGGACAGGGTGGAAGCCAATGATGTACAAATAATAATGAGATGTTTATACAGCAGAGTTTATACAGTAGATTGGGCTTGGTGGATGAGTGCATCATAAGCAGATGGA